GCCAGAAGGGCTATGGTGTTGATGCCAGAATTCATGCAGGCTCTCATTGAGCCCTGAGAGGCAGAAAACACCCGTAGGAGAGTGTGGGCTGTCCTCTGCCCTGGGGCTGAGGGCTTAGTGCCCTCTCCCCACTCCAGGCTGGCCAGAGGGAGCTCCCTAGCCGGAGCTATTTCCAGCCTTTTCGCCCTGCCCCTACAGAAGGGACATGGGGTAGCAGAATACCAGGCACAGTTTCTGGGCAGCTGCAAATTGCTCCTGTGCGGCTGCCTGCTGTGCTTGGCAGACATCACCCAGAGCAGCCCGTGCACCTTCCTGCACCTGGGTGAAAGCCCAGCCTGGGTGCTTCTGTGCTCCAGACGTTTGGGACACGTGTGCGGTCCCCACAGGGTGTGTGCGTGTGCACACATGTGGGCGCGGGCGTGTGGGAACACTGCCTCCCTGCTTGCTGACATTAGAGAGGAGCAGGAACCTCGTTCCAAATGGCTGGGAGGCTTGAATTTTCGTAACACATTTTCATTGCTTTCTGGCAGGAAGGTAGGAAAAGTATCTATTGACTGCTACTGCTAATGATCCGTGCTCGTTACATCCACAGCCCACTGCTAGAGGACTTGCTGTCCTGTTTGAACACCCAAAAAAAAGCCACATGCACCCAAGAAGGACAAGCACAACCATAGCACAACCTTGCTAAACAGCCCTGTTGATTATTATCACGATTATTACTGTTTACAGCATGAACATTAGCATAATACACCACTTAAGCAGGAGGGTGGTGGAGAAAGACTTAACGGGGATCTCACTTAAACCTCTAGTGTGGGAATGACAGCAAATGTCACTGGTGGAGACCTTGAGAAGTTGCGCAGTCCTTCCTTTGCCCCCAGACTCATCCATCTCTGTTCAGAGGTGCTCGTGGCAAGATAGAAATTTAGGCTTACAATACCCAGGGCTGAAACATCGCTGCTTAGAGAGCAGCAAGTGCCTCCCACTATGCAGCACAGTACAACAGTGCCCAATGTCCCCGCTCTCCACCAGATGAGGATTTACTCCCAGGATGAAGACCCACCTTCCAGTATTCCCATGAAGGGAATATCCTCAGCTGCAGGACTTCACAGGTGACACACACACACACACACACACACACACCCCGCTTTTGCAATGGGCTCCTTGTGATTTTGGGCCCTGGTGGCAGCAGTCTTTGGAGGACCCCAGTTTCTGTCCCATTGCCATGTACAACAACGTGGCATTTTCCAAACCTAGCTGGGTGATGTCTGACACCTTGGCTTGCTTCTTGGTGGGAGGGAAAATATTTTTGGGGTCAGACACCTAGGCAGCCGACACTGGCGAAGGAGAAGGGAAAAAATTTATGGGAGAGGCTGGGGGGAGAGACGGAGGGATTTTTCTGCAGTTGCCATCGATCGGGACCCTGGAGTGCTAATCAAAGCCAGATCTGGATGCTCCCTCCGAGCTTCACCCACAACAAGAGCTCCCTGGCACAAACAGCTGCAGGCTCCTATCTACGGCGGCTCCGTTATCTGCCCAGCTCCACGCTGGCTTCTTACGTCTTCCTGCTGGACTTTACACCCACACGCAGGCAGAGGCAATGATCGCTGAGATCAATGTTTGTCTTTTTCCCTGTACCTGCTGGAGAGACATGATCCTCCTGTTTCTCCTTCCTCCCCCATCCTTTATGGTACTGGCTCATGCTGGGCAACGCAAAGCAGCTTCCCTGGGCTCCCAGAGGCTGGGTGAGGAGGAATGTCCCTGAAAACAGCTTTTGCACTTGCAAGTCATGTTAGAGATGTATTTTTCTTCAGATTGGGTCTTATACAGGAAGTCTGTGCTACGGGTCCCTGGTTGGTAAAAATCTCTGTCGCGCATTTCCCCCAGCTGTCCCACGACTTGTCCCCACTCCAGAGGAGGGGACGTGCCTGACCTACGCCGAAACCTCCTGCGATGGCAGGCAAGTCTCTCCCCAGCTTGGACTTGCACCTGTGACCATGACAGGAAAATGAAAATCTCTCCC